TTGTGTAGAAATGTTATCAATGAATATTAAAGTACTTTTAGACGTTGAATAAAATTATTTAAAAATTTTTAATAAAACATTGAGAATTATTGAAAAGAATTTACAAAATAAAGAAGATGTTCTCAGAATTAGTTTGCAATTTCCAGATGGTTTATTAACTTATGCTCCTGTGCTTATAAATTTATTTTATTTTACTTTTAAAGATAAAATAAACATAACAATTCTTAATGATGTTGTTTATGGGGCTTGTTGTGTTGATGATGTATTTCCATCTGATTTAATTATTCATTACGGGCATTCATGTTTAGTACCAGTTACTGAAATGAATTGTAAAGTGCTTTATGTTTTTGTAGATATTAAAATAGACATCCAACATTTATATGAACTTATAGTTAGTAATTTTAGTGATAAAAATATTGCTTTATTAGGAACAATTCAATTTAACAGTGCTGTTAATAGACTTTGTCATAAATTTAAAACATCCCAAAACAATAATGTTAATATTCCTAGAGTTAGACCATTAAGTAATGGAGAGGTATTGGGTTGTACTAGTCCTGTAATTAAAGAAGATATTGTTGTTTATATTGGAGATGGAAGATTTCATTTAGAATCAGCTATGATTAGAAACCCTCAAAAAGAATTCTATAAATACTCACCGTATGACAGAAAATTAACAAAAGAATTTTATGATTTTGATAAAATGATTAACCTTCGTAATGAAGCTTCTACTGTTTTAAAAAAATCAAAATATGAAAATATAACATTTGGAGTTATTTTATCAAATCTTGGTAAACAAGCTAATCAATATTTATTTGAAAGAGTTGTTAAAAAGTTAAAAAGTTTTAATATTAAAGTTTATAAAATAGTATGCGGTGAAATTAATAATGAAATATTGAAGATTTACTCATTTTGTGATGGGTTTGTTCAAATTGGATGTCCCAGATTAAGCATTGATTGGGGGTGTGGGTATATTAAACCACTTTTATCACCTTATGAAATTTTTAGATATTTAGATGATCATAAAGGTGCATATATGATGGATTATTACTCAAAAGAAGAAAAAAACCCCTGGAGTATGTATGGTGAATAATTAATTTAAATTTAATAAATGATTAAGTTTAATTAATGAATAAAAACTTTATTAAAATGTTTGTAAACAATTGAGTTGATTGTATAAACAATAACTCACCCTAGTTTACTTCTTATTATTTTCTTTCGTACTCATTCAAAATGATTAAAATAAGTTCTTAAAGAAAATTAGGGTTAAAACTTTTTTAAAAAATTTATTTTATAAAAGATGAACAATAAACAGTTTATTAAAATGTGTGTGAATTAGTTAACTAAACCACTTTTATACTTTTTATTAATCGTCATGTAAAATGATTTACATGGACTGTCTATAAAAAGATTGGGGGATAAAAAATTAAAAAATTAAATATTCGATTTATTTACTATCACTGCTGCTACTCTCTAAAGAAGAATCCTCACTTTTATTTGATTTAGTTCTTTGTAAACTAACTATTTGTGGTATTTCATGTCCAAATACTGAGGGTGTGCTGTAAATACAATCTTCAACGAAATTACATAATTTGTATTTCGATAATGTTCTGAGTTTACCAGTTTCATAGGCATTTGGTAATCCAGTTATTGCTTCAATCACAGCTGATTTAATATAATTACTGGTGCGTTTAGCACCATCCCATAAAATTCCTATTGTTCTTCCACATTTCTCTTTCTCTATTACAAACGAATTCTTTTGTGATGGACTTCTATAAATACAGTGAAATAAATACAGATTTATTCCCACTTCTTTATTATTTTTTTCAATATTCTTTTTATGTGCAAATTCAGTTCTTGTTTGGGCTGCATCAAGTACTTCACATGACTGATCTATTGCTCCATTACTAGTCATTTCTTTCGTACTGTTCTTATTAATTATATGATTTACTTGTACTTTAAATCCTATAAGATCATTATTTAATTCATCAAATATTGTTGAAAAATATGATTCTATAGCTTCTATTTCAGCATCTTTACCTCTGCTTGTAAAAAACTCATTTGAAATATTATTATTAAACTTAGCTATTGATACTAATGCTTGTGCTATTTCTCTTTCTACGTGTATATTAAAGTTAATTATTGAAGTTTTATTTTCATTAGAACAACCTGTAAATTCATCTTCAACATATTTGACTTGTCCTTTAATATGTTCTAACAGTTCTTTAGGGTTATCTAATAAAACACTTGAAACTAATTTACTTATATAATTAATTATAATTATAATATCCATGATTATTTATCTCTTTAAATATTTTTATTGTCGTTTGAAACAAAAAAGTAAATAAATTTAATGTTCTTTTTTTATTTTTCTTAAAGTGTTTAAAATACTATAAACAACTAAATCATTAACATTTATCATTTCGTTTATAAAATTATAAATAAGTTTATCTTCTTCCCTAAAATAACCACCATCTCTTTTACCTTTAATGTTTTTTATATGACAGTAATACAATACACTTTTCATTCTAATTTCCTCAAAAGGATTAATAATTAACATTCCATCAATTTTACTGTTAGTTAAAAATTTTAATGTTGTTTCAGAATTATCACAAAGTGTTCTTAAAGAATAAACTGCAATTAACTCAACAACATTCTGAAAATAAATAATATCAATTGATTGTAATTTGGCATACTCAATTACATAATCAGGTATGTTATACTCTAAAATATTATCAGAGTATCCTGTTATTTCATTATATTTTTTTGTTTTAAAATTATACTTTGAAATGTCATAATCATTAGGAATGATTATTTCTACATCACATTTAAGTTTCTTTTTAATAACAGCTTCATTAAAAATCTCAATAAACATATAAGATGATACAAAATCCTTTAAATACACCAAAATTTTAGTCTTTGGGTGACAAGCTCTTATCATTTTTATAATTTTAACTTTTGTTGAGTTAATAAAACATTCTTTGCAATAATCATGTAAATTAATTTTTATATTTGAATTTTTTGTTTTACAAAACTCACAAATTTTCATGGGTAAAATTAAACAACAATTATTTCACCCATAGAATGGTCTCAAGAAGAATTTACTATGACAAAGATAAAATATTAAACATTTTTAGTAAGTTAAATCTCAATCAGTTTTCTGAACCACTTTACTTAGAACGTGAGGAAATAGAACAAGGAACAGATAATGAATTTTCTAAAGTAAAATCAAAAGTTATTGAATATGAGGATTACGAGTATAAAAAGTTAAGAGAAGAAGAGTCATTGCCATACATTCTAACAGATAGAAACAATAAACAGATGAATGGCAAATTGCAAGCATTTAATGGAGAAACATCAGTATATTTTGTACTAGTTGAACATGGAAAGGATTACATAATGTGTCCTATAGATAAGTGGTATGAGTTTACTAAAAGAAATATTAAACTATCACAGGATAAAAATATTGAATCAATTGATATGAAATTAAAAACATCTAAAATTGTTGAATCTGAAGAATCTGAAGAAGCTCAAGAAATAGATTTTGATGAAAAATTCGATGATGACGAAGATAATGATAAAGTGATTAAAATAAAAAAAGATAGACAAAT